ATGTTTGTACCTAGCTTCAAATTCAATTTAATATTTGTACATTGTTTAACACTACAACTCAAGGGTGCAATCAGCTTTAACAGTTCTTCTTGTTCTTTGTAGGGACCTTCTTTGAAGAGCCCTCTGGAGCTTGGTAGAGCCAAGAATGGTCTATATTTTTTGTGCACCAAGAGCCATAATTGTCCCGTCCACTACTCAATGGCAATAGTTCATCTCACATTGCTTGGCACTCTTTTACCTACAAACATGTTCATTTTGTACCTAGTGATATTAAATTTTTAGTTGAGAGTAAATGTGAAACTTCATTCCCATCCATTGTAATAAATTCTTTTGTCTCAAATAAAGAAACTAATTCTGCAGTCATTCCTTGTTCCATCACTGTTAGTTCTTACACTTCAAATTCCTTGTCTGCGTCTCATGATCACACTACTGAATTTCTTTGGTATGCTAGACTAGGTTATGTGCCTTTTGTAAAGATGAGAAACATATCCACCACACTTGTAACTTTTTCCAGCAGACAATCTTTCACCTATATCATATGTCCTATGGCAAGACAAACTAGAATGCACTTCCCAGAAAGTACCACTACAACCAATCAATTGTTTGAGTTACTACACATTGATCTATGGGGACCATATCACACACCTACTTATGATGTCTATAACTACTTTCTAACTATGGTTGATGATTATAGAAGATCAACCTGGACACAATTACTTAGATGTAAAATCAATGCATTGCAAGCTGTGAAAGCCTTCATATGTCTAGTAGAAAATCGATTTTATACCAAACTAAAATCCATTAGGTATGATAATGGGCTGGAGTTCACTAATGGTGAGGCAGCAAAGTATTTCAAGGAGAAAGGAATAATACAGCGAAAATCATGTCCTTATACACCCGAACAAAATGGGGTGGTAGAAAGAAAATACAAACATCTCCTAGAAACAGCAAGGACACTTCTCTACCATTCAAAAATACCCATAACATACTGGAGATAATGCATCTTACCTGATACATACCTCATTAACAGACTACCCACAAGAGTGCTACACAATAAATCACCATATGAACAATTGTACCAAATAAATCCCACATACTCTTATCTTAGAAGCTTTGGATGCCTATGTTTTTCCTACCACCTTAAAATCCCATAAAGACAAATTGGAGACAAGGGCTACACCAAATGTTTTTGTTGGATAACCTTTCAATACTAAAGGTTACAAAGTCCTAGACTTAGCTACCAAAAGAGTTCATGTATGTAGAGATGCATCTTTTCATGAATCGGTGTTTCCATTTGTTGTTGCTCCTCATAGTTCCAGTTTTAACTCCATTATAAATTTGCTTGTTCATAATTCTTCTAAATTGAATTCCATGCCTAGTACAAATATTATTGTTGGATTCAAACACTTCCCATGAACTCACTACTGATCATATACCCAACATTGTTCCTGAAGACACAGTGCAACTAAACTCAGAACCACTACCTGATCATGATCACATCATTCCTAATGAGGCTTCCCCATTACCATCTCTCAGGTTGACAACTATATCAATTCACCCTCCTAGCTACCTTAAAAACTATAACTGCACATTACCTAAAATAAATTCTTCCATATCTACACCTAATTCACAACATTCCCAACATTCCCTCACCTCAATAATATCCAACCATAACCATGTTTATTAACCTACCCTATGTTCTAATAGCCAACAGTTGATAAAACCAATATCATATGATTGTGAACCTTCTTATTATGAGGAAGCAATCTTGAATCCTACCTGGCAAATGGAAATGACACAAGAGTTTGAAGCATTATATGCAAATGATACATGGGACTTGGTTCCCTTACCAGCAGGGAAGAATGCAATTGGATGCAAGTAGGTATATAAAGTTAAACATAAAGGTGATGGGAGTGTAGAGAGATTAAAAGCTAGACTGATAGCAAAGGGGTACACACAACAAGCTGGGATTGACTATACTGAGACATTTTCACCTGTAGTAAAAATGACTAATGTGAGGAATTTAATCTGCTTGGTTGTGAAAAAGAGATGGAATATGTATCAGTTAGATGTGAACAATGTTTTCCTACATGGTGACCTACATGAAGAAGTGTACATGAAATTGCCAGATGGTCTTATGGTAAATGAAAACAATTTGGTGTGCAGACTCAAGAAATCTTTATATGGCTTGAAGCAGGCAAGTAGACAGTGGTATGAAAAGTTGGCCAACAGCCTTTGCTAAAAAGGATACACACACTCAAATAGTGATTACTCTTGGCCAGCAGCCTTTGCTCAAAGGGATACACACATTCAGATAGTGATTACTCATTATTTTACAGAAGAAAAGGTCATTCTTTAGTGTTTCTTGATGTCTATGTGGATGATGTTATCTTGACAGGAACTGATTTGGAAGAAATCAACTCTCTGAAGGTTTTTTTACATGATCAGTTTAGGATTAAAGACCTTGGGAGGATCCACTATTTCTTAGGGCTGGAAATACTGTACAGACAAGATGGTGCTCTTATTTCCCAAAGAAAGTTCACTGCCGACCTTCTGAAGGAGTTTGATGTTATGGATTGCAAAGTGACTAATTCACCACTTGACTCTACATAGAAGCTTACAGCAGCTGATGGAAAATTATTGTCAGACCCTACACATTATAGAAAACTAATTGGTAAGCTTAACTTTCTCACAAACACACGTATGGACATATCATTCAGTGTGCAACATCTCAGTCAATTTATGCAATTGCCTAGAGATGCACACTTGAGGGTTGCATATCATGTACTTAGGTATCTCAAACAAGATCCCACTTTGGAAATTTTTATCTCAAATAAACCAGATTTCACTGTCAGTGCTTATTGTGACTCAGATTGGGCCTCTTGTTCTGATTGAAGGAGGTCAGTTAGTGGGCACTTGGTCCTTATGGGAGATTGCCCTGTCAGTTGGTAGTCTAAGAAGCAGGACACTATGTCATTATCCTCTGCCGAAGTAGAGTATAGGGCTGTGAGACAAGTAGTTGGGAAACTAGTGTGGTTTGAAAGACTTCTTGATGAACTAATGGTACACATATCTTTGCCTATTCATGTATTTTCACATTGCCAAGAATCCAGTTTTCCATGAAAGAACGAAAAAAATCGAAGTTGATTGCCATTTTGTTATGGATAAACTTCAACAAGGGTTAATCACACTTCATCATATTTCTACAAACTCACAATTGGCAGACATATATACCAAGGCATTGACTGGTGTTAAACACTCCACACTTCTGCACAAGTTGCCTGTGATTACCTCACCTCCAACTTGAGGGGGGTGTTGGAATTAAGTAATTAGAAAAGTTAGTTGGAAGTTAGTTAAGTTGTTAGTAGTTAGTCATTTTCATGCTTTTCATACATGTATATAGAGAGGTTAATGTAAAGCTCATATCAGTTTTAATGAAATACAATTCACACATTTTTCATTTCATCTCCTCTCTAGAATGTTCTATGCTTCTTCACTAAACTCAAACTCCATTAATGGAGGTTTGTAGTTCTGCTGCTTCCAGTTTCAACAATAGACCTTCTAACTCCATGTATATTGGGAGATATATCTATCCCAAGTAAGACTACATACGAGATTACAAGAAATAATCTGCATCAATATGACCTTCAACTTATACTGAATATGATCAACCTCAGTATAACACCTATGTTGATGTAATATAAGTAATAATGAATATGATCATTCATTTAAAATCTTATTCTCCCGACAACTCATCAAAAACAACGTAAGACAAAAAGTACAATTTTTTATGCGTACTAGTTAAGCTTAGTGAGTTAGTTGCCTTAAGATTTATGGGATATTACATGATCAAAAGTCTAATAATTTTCTAGTGTTGTGACTTGAATAAACCTAGCTAACCAATTAATATTTTCACTTAGATATCGTCAAAGTTTTTATATCTAACCTCCTCTTTTAAATTTCAGTTACTTATATTTTAATACGTCGAAGTGACAGTATCCAACTAAAACATAATTCCGGTGTCTTTTGAAGACACTAGTAATAACAACACTATTAATCGAAAGACCTTCAATTAAGTACAATCAATGCATAGTTGGACAAATAGAGATTAAGAATCTGTTTGGATTGACTTAAAAATTGGTCAAATCTACTTTTAAGTCAGTTTTTTACTTCTGAAAGTATTTGACAAATACGAAACATAATTTAAAATAAGTCAAAAATGACTTAAAATAAGTTACAAAATGTTTGGAAAGGTAAAAAATGACTTAGAATAAGTAAAAAGAAAAATGACTTAAAATAAGTTACAAGCCGAAAGTAGGTATCCCATACTTTTTTTAGCTTGTCACTTCAGTTTGACTTTTTATTTTTGACTTGAAAACTACCTTTTTAAGCCAACTAAAACGAGCTCTAAAAATATAACTACTCAACTATAGAAAAATAATGAAAGATAGAAAGAAATAAAAAAAAGGAAAAATTGTATATAATGACAAACTAATAAATCAAATTAATTACTATAACCACCCTTTGATTTAATTGTGACCCGTAGCAAACTGTTTGTTAGTCATCTCTCTCCCTCAAACTCTCGCTCGCCACTCTCCTCTCTCTCTCCATCTCTCGCTTGCTTCCTCTCACTTTTATACAAACACAATTGTATAAGATCTGTTTCTATTTGTATAAAGCAAGAGGAAATTGTATAAATACATATATTTTTGTTCTCCTCTCTCCCCTCTCCTAGATCTCGCTCGACATTCTCCCTAATCTCGCTCGCCTCTCTCGCTTGTGTTTCTGTTTGTATAAAGCGAGATAAAATTATATATATACATGCAAATACATATATTTAAATTACATGGGATGACAAACATCCCTATGTAATTAGTTAATAAGGGTATAGTTTCGTTTATTTACGGTCAATAAATACAGTTTCAATTTTTTTCCCATAATTAATGGGACCACTACCTATTTTTATACGGGACAAAAATAGTCATCCAAAGATTTTTATATAATTTTATTTAAAATCAAATTTATCTCTCCTATTCTCATTCCAATATTTTTTCCTAAAATTACTCTTTCCTTCTAATATGAATTTCCATTGGAAAATTTTTGACATTCTCCCTCCGATGTTCTTCCACTTTTCGCAGGTAACCGCCAACTTCATGATTTTCAATATTTTTTTTTCTTGATTCCTTCTTCAACAATTGTATATGTAATATGATTGTTAGTTTTTTCATATATTTTCTTAAAAAATCTTTATTACTTATCAAATTACAAGTTTTCAAAATCAGAATGGATGATTTCTCTCTATCTATGAGGATTACAAGAGGTATGCCATTACATGTCAATGCTGTTGATAATCCATCTACCTTCGTTTCAATTGGGTTAACTCGGGATTTTGGGGTCAATCTAGGGTCCATGACAAAAAATAAACAAGTTCAAGTTGAACAATCTATTGAAGAATTGAGATCCATAAAAAAAATGGCCCAATGATAATTCATAAAGTCATCAATAATGCGAAATCTAGTGGCATTAAGATTGTTGAAGGTGGAAGTAAGAGAAAAGTCATAAACATTGATTCAGTGTATATTGAATCTGTGTCGTCAGAACTGGACAAATCTGAAGAATATCGGGAATATCATGTAGTGTTATTTATATACAAATTACAAAGTTATGTATATAGTGGGTTGTGTATTAAAGTAATATATACAAAGTATTATGAGACAGTTCTTAATTGTAAATTCTATTAGTTGTATACCAATTACTAAAGTTAGGTATATAGTAGGTTGTATATTAAGGTAACATATACAAAGTTTTACGAGGCAATAGCTATTTCTATACAATTATTTAATTTTGTATAAAAGAAATTTGTTAAAATCACTCTATAATACATATACAAAATTATAATACATTATACAAATTCGTCGACATATACAAAAAATTATGAACATAATAAAATATTGTATCTATAAATGTTACACACTCAAATATAGAAAAAGATTTCAAGCTTACTATATATACAATTAACAAATGAATATTATACAATCAGTTTATTCATTAATATTTTTTTTAAAAAAATATGAAATCACAGATGCACATATATAACTATAATATATATACCAAAATTATTTTACATTATACAAATTCCTAGATATGTGCTGAGTGTTTTATAGATTTATTTTTAAAAAATTGGGAAAATATTTGATTTTGAACTGGTATTGTCTTTCTATAGCTTTAGAATTTTTTTTTTTGGAGAAATATTTGATTTTGAATGTTTTGCTTAAATCGTGGGATTATGTGAATTTATTGTTATTATTTTTGTGTTGTTGTAACCATTTATTGAAAAAATAATTTTTTCTTGTATAATTTAATTAAAAAACGTTTTATACAAATTTATAGTCACCTAACAAACTAAACTATACCCATAAAATATAATTATATAAACTATGTTCATGGAATGTAATTTCATAAAATCCGATTGCCGTATATGAGATTTTCCAAAAAAGAATATAAAAATCGATAAATAAAATACACAAAATCTATATAAAACCATTATGTTCTATTCAAATGGTAAATCGTTATGAAAGATAATTACTTTGAGTCTTTGACTCGGGGCAAACACTATCAAACCAAAATAAACTACGGTCATATTTTGCTTTGTATTCTTAGAAAAGGGTCATATTTATCCTTTATCATACTTTTTAATTATATTTGTCATTATCATCCAACTTTGACTACATATTTATATTTATATAGTTAACTTATCATGTCATCATTTTTTTTAGTCCACATGGCACCTACATGGATCCATGTGTATAATTATAATTATAATTAAAATAAAAAGTTATTTTTTATTTAATGTTATATTCGACCCATTTAATTTAATGTGACCCAATTAATGTGAAAATCCATAGGCCCTAATTTCAATACCTATTTACCCATATTTTCTACCCATCATCTTGTATAAGAACCATTCATACATGAGAAGAGGAATTCATGTCTTAATTGAGAGAGAAGATCCAACCATAGATAAGATTTCTATCCTTAAATATATCTCTTTTTACCCTTTTTTGTATGGTATTTGTTTCTTGTGTCACATTAGATGCTAGGTGTATAAGATTTTATCTTCATCCATGCCATTGTACAGGTGGAGCTGTTCCGAAATGATCAACACCGACTGAGTTTACTGTTGCTTCCTTCTGTTGGTATCAAACGTTAAAATATTCACCCTAATTAATATTCTTTCCATTTATATAAAAGAATATGCCTATTTCATGCTAGAGAGACTGATGATTGACCATATTAAAAATACAAGAAAGAAACAACTGTTATCATGGCATAGTACAAATTCAATTCTGCAGAATTGTTTCTCCCATTTATCAAACAAAAGCAATAGAGAACAAAGGATTTAGTCACATAATCCATTAAAACAAGCTTATAATCTCTTCAAGCTTTTCTTTCTCGCATCGATTTTTTCCCTTGTTACACAGTGAAGTATGTGGTTGGCCAACATTTAGGGCTAATGTGACGCAAGAAATCTTATCTATTGTTGGATCTTCTCTCTCAATTAAGACATGAATTCCTTTTCTCATGTATGAATCGTTCATATGCAAGATGATGGGTAGAAAATATGGGTAAGTGGTTAAAGAAATTAGGGCCCATGGATTTTTTACATTAATTGGGCCGGATTAAATTAAATGGGTCGATATCACACTAAATAAAAAATAACTTTATTTTAAATATAATTATAATTACACACATGGAGCCATGTAGGTGCCATGTGGACTTAAAAAAATGGTGACATGATAAATTAACTATATAAATATAAATATGTAATCAAAGTTGAATGGCAAGAAAAAAATTATCAAAAAAGTATGATGAAGGGTAAATATGACCCTTTTTCTAAAAGTATAAGGCAAATATGAGTCCGAATAAACTAATAATACTTGTAAGTGAGATTTACAAAAATGAACTTAGAAATGAAAGTCATTTTCTTTAAATTTAAGAAAAATGTGTAGATTTAGAAAAACTTAAATCAATCCAACATGAGAAAAATTAAAAAATATTTTTAGAATTCAATCTCAAGGGTATTGAGTACTCTTTTGAAATAATAATTAAGAACATGTTTGACATTGCTGTTAGGAGCCATAAGCGATTATTTTGAGAAAAATAACACTTTATTTTTTTTTTAAAAAAAAATAGGTGTTTGACAAGCAAAAACAGTTTTTCTGTTGTTCGGAATAAGCTAAAAATTTCTGAGCAGAAAATTAATTTTTTTAGAATTAAAATGTCTCATATTTGGTTAAGTTCCATTTAATAATTTTATTTTTTATTTTATTTTATTTATCATATTACGTATTATTTCACGAAATTAGAAAACAAGAAGAAGGTAACAATAACATTTCTGTAAGATTCGGTGGAAAAATGACAATTAAAGATGTCAACCCTTCAAATAATGTATAATATGAATTAGAAATTTGAATATGAACATTTTAATATAATAAAAATAAAAATTTAATTTAATTTCTTATAATAGATTTTTAAACTAGTTTTTTCTCTATAAAATAATTTTAATAGTAAAAGTATATTTATACTTCCTCTTAATGATAATTTGACTCTCAAAAATATTCTTAAAAAAAGATTAATCAACACACATTTTATTAATAAAAAATACTTTTCAAATAAATTAGTCAAAAACACAAATTATTATTTTTCTTTCAAAAAACTTTTAAAAAGCTAAATTAAAAAGTACTTCTAAAAATAAATATTTTTAAACAACAATATCAAATAGACTCTAAACTATAAAACAAGGAGCAGATAGGTGAAGGACTAGTTGAATATCCAATAGATTGGGCTGTCAAGGAAAATCAAATAATTACACTATTCTTGCTTTAGGCCAACAGTTAATAGACTTGTCTCCGCAATTAGAGGTTGGAAGTGGAAAACATGGACCAACCATTTGCATAATGTAATATAAGGGTGTTAAAATGAATCTAGATCGAAATTTGAGACATTAAAATAAATTAAAATTTGAGATAATAAAATAGATTGAAATAGAAATTGAATTGAGTTATGATTCACTCAAATTTAATAAACATATCTAAGAATTAATTACACCATATTCTTAATCTAATTACATCATATTCTTAATTATTTCTATTTTTTTTATATCTTAAATTTGATGAAATTCGAATATATCCCAAAACGATGTAATGTAATGCGTTCCTATTTTGGATACATCTCGATATATGGAGTCTCGATTTCGGATACATCACTTAATGTCTCAAAACATCTATCCAACTAAAGTGATGTATCTGAGAATAAAAAAGAGTATGAATTTTTATAATTTTCAGATGGTATGAAATTAGAGAATATAATAAAGTAAGTTGTGTATTTAGATAAATTTTTCAATTTATTTTGGACTTAAATAGGCTAAAATCTAACTCAAGAAAATAAAAATAAAAAGTTACAATTAGATAAATCCTAAATGATATAAAATGAAAAGTAATTCATATCTTCAATATGAGAACATATGTTATACCTATCCACATAAAAACCTTAAAATAGTTTGAAATTGTAGATTAAATTGAATTTAATTAAAAATTCTTTTAGATGAATCAAAACTTGAATGAATTGCGATTGACTCAATTCAATCTATTTAAAGCTCAACCCACAAAATTCTGAACATGTTAGATAAGTTACCTACATTTTAGCTCATTTTTTAAATCCCCAAGTTGAATACATTGAGGATTATAATTTACATAGAGTAACAATTTGTTATAATTTATTCAAAAAATGGTTAATTTTGAAATTATATTTTGATGTTGTCAATTAAGTGATGAATATTTTATGAGATGAGGTTGATCAAATCAGGCCCTACACTTTTGAGTCCACGCCTCAATTTGTACATATGAAAAGCTTAAAAAGCGGGGGATTGTGGGTGGGGAAACGAAAATTGTACAATACTTACCTCTCAATCATCTTTGACCTACAAAAAAAAGAAAATTCTAATAACTCAATATTAAATTTACTTTGCATTCTCTTCTATTTTTTATTTTTTTTGACAAAATAAAAAACAAAAAGTTTCTTCTTTTATCTTTGACAAATTTCTATGAATTTGCTCACAATGCTGTTTTTCTTTTTTCATATTATTTGACCAGTATTAATTCAGCCCAATTCTTAAGAAAACTTATATCAAAAGTGTATTTAACATCTTTATTAATGAAATTTTGAAATTCAGAATTTTAGTACAGTACATTAGTAATTATTTAATACCAAAGAGAAATATAGAAAAAAAACTTTTTTTTTAATTTTAAGATGGACAAATAAAAAGAAAAAAAAATATGAGCAAATTAGTTAGTAAAATGAAATGAAGAAAGCAGGTTATATAATTCAAAGAAAGAAAGTGGTTATTACACCAAACATAATATCAAAGGTAACACAAATCAAATAATTCCATGTCATGTTCCTTCGTTCATCGGTTATATTTTGATTAATTTAAAACTTAATATAATTAATTTTGTATTTTAAAGGGATAAAAGAAATTTTGTAGGGGTATATTTCTTTGAATAAAACAAAATTTAAACATTCAGTAATTTCTTGAATCTTATGTTATAGTACCAAGTTAACCCATACTTGATGATCTTAAATTTACAAATCAATTATTTTTCCTAGTTTATTGTGATTAATTAGCTTGGATAAACTCTCAACACATTAACCAAAATGGAAGAGAAAGAATATGCACGTAATTTTTTTGGATTAGACTAAAATCAATTGGTGTTATGGCTCATTTAGAAAAAAAAAATAATTATTAAAGGTCATCTAAAATCATACCCGACAAAAGCATTTTTCTAGAAAATAAAAGTAGTCTCCTTTTGAATTTTTAATTTATTTTGATAGTGAAAGATAAAGTGCAAATGGCAAAAGTTGGAAATGCAATTCAACAATGCATGTTAGAGCAAATTTTGGTCAATGAAATGAATAGAGATTGAGAAGTGGAGAGGGGAGTCACTTTGATAGCTAATAGAACTATTCATATATTTGTTTATCGAAAAAATGATACAAATAAACACATATTTTAATTTAGTTCGCAATATAATATAAGTTAAAGTAGACAAATAAAAATTCATTCCTCCAAACATGTACATCCTTTATTTTGCCGATCACATGCATAGGCAAAATAAGGATTAAGAGTTTGGGATTCTAAATTTTGTTAATATTCATCAATCAACTTTATTAGGGGTTCACAAATTAATATGCATAAATATTTAATTATTTTTCTACTACAAATATAATTCTACAAGAAAGCTGTTAAATTAATCTAAATCTATTAACCCCACCTAACTTCGTCTCTATTTACATGCTTGGCTGCATTTTACCCTATATAGATAGATCCTCCATTTATCAAATATGATATAAATTATAATTGGTTAGCGAAATTTATTTTGGAATCTCTTAGCGAAAGGTAGGTGAACTATTGTGAAGGGACTCGTGTCCATTCACATTTATGCTTGTCACGTGTCACCTAGACATTGGCCTAGATTATGTGATCAAAGACGTAATATATAAATATGTTCTTTAATTTGACTATAATTGATATTTATGTCATTAAATTTGAGTGTATACAAGCAGACATAATTAAAATTAAACAAATAAATACAATTTTTTTTATATAGAGTTCTACCTAATAATTTTGTGTCTTAAGTGACATTATACATATATTTATTACGTAGGACGAATATGTGTATTTATTTAATTTTATATATATTTGATATTTAAATGTGCACACTCAAAATTAAAGAACATAAATATTATCTGAAGCCAAATAAAATAATGCATTTATGTGTTATGCCCTAGTGCAAAATAGTATAAAAATTATCTCTGTCATGTGCGTAAGTGATTAAAGTTATATATATGTACTATATGAAATTAAATATTTAAACATTAATTTGGTATGTTTCTACTCCTACTACTGCTACTAAATGGATTAATGATCTTATTTATTTGGTATGTCTCTACTGCTACTTAATGGATCGACCATTCAACAGCAATGGAAAAAACAATTCTTTTCTTTGACAAAGGTGACCAACTTTACAAATGAATCTTATGAAAAAACAGGCTAAATTGAGCCTCCACCCAATTTTGTAAGAAAAATTGCTAGAAAAATATAATAAATTTTTTTTGAAGAGCATGAAATAAAGAAGAATCATGAAAATGAGTCTAAACAATCTATTTTCCCCAACTTTACCTAATCAAAACATTGGTGGAAGCTGATCTTTTTGGTTTGTGAAAAGTTAAAAAGGGCTTTAGGACTTGATAGAAAAAGATGGGTGGAGGGGTCGGTAGTAGTGGTGGGGGTCTATTGATACTTTTATTTTGTTAAACATTATCATGTATACAAAAATTATTGATTCGACTGATTTAAATTTGAGTAATGTCACATTAAACTTTTAGGGGTAAATTATTTAAGTCTATAAATAAAATTTTCGTAAATTCGAACGTTTGATTAGCAGTAGAGATATTTCAATTAAATCGATCACTATGTGATAGTGGTTACAAGAGTAACTTTAGCATTAGATTATGGCATGATATTTCCTTTATTTTCCATGATTTCAAAAATTTGAACTTTTATGTATTGTAAGGAAAGTAGAGTAACGGTACATTATTATGTATATGGTAATAAACTTCAATATATTATTGACTTTTATATATTCTCATTTCTAACTCTTCATATATATATATATATATATATATATATATATATATATATATATATATATATTCCCCTCATTTCATTTCATAAAGAAAGAAGAAGAGGAGAAATTAAAACAAGAAATTTTGGGGTATTTGTTTAGCAGCGGTGAACGTGTAAGAAGGATGTGCCTGGCTCCCTGTATGCCACACACATTCACCAATTCTTTGATTGACTGATCAGTGGGTGGCGTATAAGGAGCCAAGCATACCACCCGCTTTCCCATTTGATTTCTTGTTTTTGTTTTTGTTTTATTTTGAGATTACAATATTTGTTGATTTGAAAAACAAAAGTCAGCTCTTATAAATTCCCCTCATTTTCTAATTTGTGTGTATTATGTGATTATGATACGTTGATTTCATCTGTTAATTTTGCAGAAGTGTAATTCGTCAGGCCGATAAGTGATTTTGATCGATCAAGGAAAATGATGGCTTTAGAGTTCTTACTTCTTGTTCGAGTTTTCTCATTGCTTCTTTCTTTTTTTCTTTAATGAGTGTATGCATGTGTGAATGGTAGTTTTATTAAGTACCGTTTCTTCTAATAACGTTTTCTTCTGTATAAATATTGTTTGAATACAATGACGGATTCAGGATTTTTTGGTATTTTTGAAATTGAATATTACATTATATTAGAACTAGGAAATGGTTATCTTACTAAAATGAGTATCATTCCAAACACATAAAACAAACCTTCAATTTAACGTCCAAATACATAAACAAAACTTTTAAATTTGACACCTTAATTCAAAGGTTGTTTCAATTAGTCGCTTGAACCCACATTAATGTATAGTACTTCTAATAGTTTTTGAGTATTATTTAACTGTTGCAGATATAAAGAAATTTTGAGGTAATTCGAAATTAAACAAATAGACAAACTATTAAAATGGGAAGTAAATACTTGTATGTGTAAAATCATAATTAGAATTAAAGCATGGATAGACTCTACTTAATTAAACTGAAAGCATGGGACAAGTACACTTGGCTCCATGTCAATATCAAAGCAAATAGAGGAGCAGCCAAACAAAATTGGTTCCCTGAGACGTGTCCGTATTGTGTCAGGCCAATTTCATATTAATTGGTATGATTTTCTTTTATAAAGTCAAATGATGATAATTTTAATAAACATTTTACTATATTTTTTTTTATATTGATATTCAAAAAATTATAATTTACAATACTTTTTGTATTTTTTTTTAATTTCTGAATATTTTATTTAAAATATCAAATTAATATAATTTTATTTTATTTTAAAAGTTAATCAAATTGACTTTTAAAAAATATAACGTGAAAATTAAGAATAGATAAAGAGGGCAATATATTTTTGAATTTGTTTTGGTTTATGATATTTCGTTTAAGGTTTTCTTTTTAGATTTATAAATAGTTTATGAATAGATATGTTTTGAAAGAAAATTCAACTTGAAGGGGATTTGACTGAGAACATAGTGAGGAATCGTCATGGTGACGTGGCAAGGCAAAAGATCAGATAACGAGTTTTTTTTTTTTTTTATGTTTTTATGTGTCACTTGTGAAAAGTATCTATCACGATCCAACACATTTATCAAATCGTGAGAGTATCCACTATTTTTCTGAGGCTAACCCCATTCATAATTAATAAATTATTTGAGAGAAACATAAAGCTAACAAAATAAGCTAAAAATCACTATAATATTACTGAATAAGAAAATGTATCCCAATATTCATAACAAGTACGTGGATTTGGAAGAGACTATAAAAAAAAAGAAGTACAAGAGCATTTTTAAAATCTAAAATACCTGTAAGAGTAGCAAGATTGTCCACATAGAAGAAAGACAATAAATGAAATACAATCGAAAGGAACAACATATAATGACCAATAACAACAATAACCAAGATAACAGATGCACTAAAATTACTCATCTTTAAAAAGTATACTACAGTTATTCTGAAATATATAAACCAACTAGGTTGGGGTCGAACCCCAACAGGGAATATACCTTATGTGGTTATCCTAATATTAGTTGATTATTTCCATAAAAGGGGAGTTTGTGAAAGTTGTTTGTGTTTCAATATCAACTATAATCAAGTAAGAACAACAACATTCCAATGAAATAGAGTCAATTAAGAGAAAGAAACTAAAATTGCGATTATTATGATTTCATGAAAAAATCAGGTGACTAACGATGGTAGACTCTTCTAGTGCTAAGCATGCTAGCTATCAATTAGATTGATACATCTAGATGTTTCTCAACCTATTAGATGGAATTCACTCAATCTTATTCTCTTGAACTAAGAGAAATGACTATAAGAACTTTGATAATTGCACTAAGTTTACCGAATCCTTGTTATTACAACATTAATCATTAGACGAGGGTAACGAACCTCGAGTCCTTGTTGTTACTTCTTTTTCTCGGGTTGTAATGTCTTTACTCAAGAAAAATAAACCTTCGAAAAATTTTAATGTTTGTAACCATAGAAATTAATTTAGATTAAGGATATAACAATACACAAATTTACACTATTTGAATTTATTGACGACAAGAGACTGCACTTCTAGAAGTTTTATTTTAGTAATATTTATTTGCTGCCTTTTGTATGCATTCTACATAAAATAGAATTCTAGGTTTATCATTTGTTGTTTAAATACATGTATTAGTACAATTAATAGATGATATGAATGACAAATTTATTATATAAAGGCCTAAGTCATTTCCAGCTCCTTAAAGTTGTCCGCATAATTCAGTTAGACACCTTATCTAAGGTTTGTTTCAATTGAACACCTTTATTAGTTAAAATATATTCCTATTAAACATTTTCTGACAATCAATTAAAAATAGAGAGTGAGTGACATACACTCGCGGATGATGTGGTACAATAACCAATAAAAAAAAGACATATGGCATTGACCCTTTAATAACAATTAAAAAAATAAATTAGGAAAAATAAATAAAATAAAACTACTTTTTTAGCCAAAAAAATAAATAAAATAGAAATATGAAAAGAACCTTTTTTCTTTGTTTCTTCTTTGCATAGGAGTAACCCTACCACATCACCTCCATACCCGTTACACACTTCAATAATAATGGTAACTCCACTTTTCCTCTCACAATTCACACAAGGATTTTGTTTCCCACTAATACACCTGCCCCGTCTCCTTTATTCTAAAATTCATCAACATTGTTGTGCTATTTCTCCAAATCTCACCTCTTTTTTTTTTTAAACTTTAATTCAGATTCACATATTCTTTTAATTCCTCTATTAGGGTTTATTAACTTTTTAACAATTTTAATAAAATAACTTCAGATTCGTATTAGTCTTGCCGGAAAAAATGGTGTTTCACCGAAATTATTTTTGACACAATTTGATTATTATTATTATTTTATGAAATTCTCTTCTAAAACTCCAAGATAATGCTGATGATATCGAGAATGAAGGAACAATGCTTGGAAAGAAAGTATATGGGGAAGGGGTGAGGCGGAGAATGGTGGCTTAGGAATTTGGCCGGTAAGAATTCAGTTTCTCTTAAAAAAAATTGGAACCAAAACAAAGCGGAACCAAAACAAAGTGTCAAAGATCTTCTAAAGACTGAAGAAGACAGAGTGCTCTGAAGAAGAAGATTGTTGAAGGATAATGGGTTTTGTTTTCCTTTTTTTTATTAAGAGATCCTTGTTGAACTAAATTATTAATTTTAGTTATTTAATAATAAATCTAAGTTTCAAGAAATTACACAATCAACATAAAAAAATTAAAAATAATATTATTGGGATCTATTCACGCGCTCAAGGACAGTGAATCACACTTATCCTGCCACATAAGTATTTTGTGTTTAATGAGTATATGTTTTGAACAATTTAAGTGTTCAATTGAAACATGTCCTAGTTGAGGTGTCTAAGTGAATTATGTAGACAACTTAAGCGGCTGCCTATGACTTAAGCCTTATATAAACCTGTAACTTTGCTCAACATGGTATCAAACTTAAATCCTGTGGTTCCAGCCACTTTCGAAACCCAATCGAATAACCTTGCACCACAAATCATAGCCCAACAGGACAATTCTACTTTTTCCACTGGGATAGTTTTTGACAAAACAAATTATCCTTTATGGTCACAACTAATGGATATGTGTATTGGAGCAAGAAACATAGTTGGATATCTTATGGGGGAATCAACCAAACCATCACCAACTAATCCGTATGCTGTATGGATCACCGAAAATCACAAAAGTTCAAAGTAGCTAGGCTTATTAATTCAATGAGCCTGCATCTTATGCAAAGATTTATTCATCTGGCAACCGCTCAAGATATATGGGAAGATGTTTCAAAAATATTCTAAGATAGATTAGATGAGACTCATTTATTTGAACTGAATCAACAATCTTTCATAGCCAAGAAGAATAGTCGACCTTTGTCTAGCTATTATAACAAACTCAATGCAATCTTCAGGGAATTGACCACCAGATATTCACAAGAAAGATCAGTGGAAGGTATTGTATGGTTACATTCCATGGGGGCTAGGCTTTGAGTTCACATATTTCTAAGTGGGCCTGATTTGGAATTTGATAAAATTCGTGGTGATATTTTGCGAAAAGATCCAAAATTGGATTCAGAAAGCTATTATGCATATGTAAGGAGAGAAGCACAATAAAGACAAATCATGGGAAGTTCTAGACCAGTCCCTGAAAGTTTAGCCATGGTGGTTCAACTAGAATACACAGAAGAATCAAAGTTTGCAATCATTGTAGTGAAAAAGGACACATGAAACAATGCTGCTATGAGATTATCGGATATCCAGAATGGTGGGATTTTAAAAAAATTATAAAAGGACTTGACTGGTAGAGCACCAATAGCCATACAAGGCGAACATTCACAACCTACGACCAATGTGGCTCAAGCAGGCAACTTTGGTAATGTTGATATTTTTTCTGCCACTTCCAAAGGAAAATACATGGATTATTGACACAAGATCATTCGATCATATGACTAGAGACTCTAATAAGTTAAAATCTATTCACCCATTCCCCTAACAAGTTATTTCTACGGCTAATGAAAATACTTGTAATGTAATAGGGGAGGGTTCAGTTGAATTGTCTAGTACTTTGACACTTGAAACTATTTTGGTGGTGCCTTCACTCCAAAACAATTTGTTGTCTGTAAGCAAAATTACTTTATCTCTTAACTATATTGTAACTTTTTTGCCCTTGTATTGTATCTTTTAGGACATTCTGACCCAAAAGACTCTTTGTTGTGGTGTTAAACGAGAAAAGCTATACTATTTGGAGTTGGCTGAGAATGTAGAGCATAATTTTGGGCAAGCATGTCATACAAGTGGAGTTTAAAAGGCTAAAGAAAAAAAATATGGCTATGACATAGGAGACTAGGACACATCTCTTTTGGTTATCTTAAGACACTTAGACCAAGTTTGTTTGCTGATTTAGATGTTTCAGATTTCCAATGTTTTATTTGTGAACTAAGAAAAAGCCAACGAATTCCTTATCTTCCAAGTTTGAAGAAATATTCTAAACCTTCATTGTATACATTATGATATTTGGGGTCCAACAAATATCCCCTCTATTTCAAAATCTTGATATTTCAACACTTTTATCGATGAATACACAGGAGTGAAATAGGT